GTAAAAAGGTGTAGAAAATGTCAAAGTTGTATCATTAGTATGTTAGTTCTTCTATAATTATAGTAAACTTCAAAAGTTCTAAATATATTCGGACATCTTAAATAATTCAAATAAGAAAATATTTAATAACCTAAATTTTAGTTGATTTTAATTCAAATGACTATTTCAATTCAAATGACTATTTGTCTAGACTCTATTACATGCGATGCACGAAATATTTTATTCCAAATATTAAATACATAACAAAAGTAATAAATTTTCTGCGTTAACTACTTGTTATTAAATATGTATGAAGTCTAATTATTAGTTCCTTAAAATAAAAAAATAAAAAAAAAGAAAATAAAAAAGAATATACATATAATTCAAACCAGCTCAATTAGTGAAGTTTTAGCATAATAAAAGGATAAAATTATTTCGAATAGATATATTTTCAAAGTTATTATATTAAAATTGTAAAAAGCCGACTAACTTGATGAAATTAATACATTACCTATTGGAGTTTTACTTTCACTTAGACTCAAAGACCCTCTAGCTTAACCTCATCAGTTACTATTGATCTATTATATCTTAAGACATACAAAACTTACATTTTCATATACAGCAGACGATACTTTCTCATATTAATTTGTCCATACTTTTGATGAATGCTCATCTCTTCCAAAGTTCTGCACATAAAACTTATAAAAAGCAATATAATGCATATGTTTATGTTCACATACACCCAATATGTATTTTAATATATAAATAAATTTAGAACACATCAACCCTACCCACTTTCAAGTTCTAACATAGAGGAGAAGCACAAAGTTTCGCCAACACATTATATGTAGTCACACATATTTATATTCACGTACATTCGATAAAAAAATAAAACACAGAACCAAACACAACCGTAAGGAAAGAAGGAAGCACCGAAATATTGCTGTAAGTGAAAATATTACCGAAGGTCAAACAACTCCATGGTACTGATATTGTTTTCTTTCCATGGTACTGATATTATTTTCTTCCTTAAATTTAATCGCCGCATTTTTTTTTCTAACCCCATAAATAATCTAGTACAGACTTTCTTACTATGATACTAAATGTGTCTTATAAGCATATAAATAATATTGAATCCTAATAGTAAATAACTTCATAGAAAAATATAAATCCTAGTGTCTATTGAATATAAATTCTAGTTATTATAATTTCGTCCAATAAGGAATAATTTCTATTGGAGAAATATTTAACATTGAGGGACATAAAAGTCCGCTAACATTTTAATGATATTTTTAACTCGTAACATTTAGTATAAATTATTCGTGCTTTTATAATAGATAATTATTGTTATTGTAACATAATAATTGAAAATAACACCGTTCATATTGAAAAAATCACTAACAAAATATTTAAATGGTTGACAAGATTCAAGTACATTAAAGATTCTACAATCAAAAATCCAAAAAGTGAAATATCAATTTTTCTTTTCTCTTTGATAATATAACTTAGATAAAATTATAAATATAATTAATTATTTAAAATTAGATGAGCTAATACGAAGAATTTAAATCAGCAAAAAAAATTATTTCCTTTAACGTTGAGAAACAAATACTTAAGCATTTTAAGTGATAGAGAAATTTAATTTTTTTTTATATATCTTACTTAGACAAATCTTTATTGATAAAAGTACTTATACGTTCTTTTGTCTATTTTTGTATTAGGTCATACAAATAACAATACCTTTTTCATAAGATATACCTATAGAAGTCCTCATAAACTGCAATAAGGCATCTAAGAACTTTTATGAAATGAATTATTTCTTTATTGAGCCAGCTAAATAAAATATTTTGCAGTCATTATTTTCAAGAACTTATATATTTCTTTGTTAATTTTTATTTTAAAAGTCAAACACATTGTTTATTAATTCTTTTGTAATATTTTCAATTAGTATATCGTATTAATATAAGATACACGCGCAAAGCGCGTACCTTCCACTAATCGCATAAAAATGCACGAAGGAGTAGTAAGGAAAAAAATGAGAAAAAGAAAAAGCTTAATGGTGGTTGTAAATAAAAGGTAAAGCGAACTAAAAAATTTATCAGCTTGTTTGGATTGTTGTTACGTATTGTTTCATAATGTATCGTATCGTATTGTACTGTATCGTTTGATTAATACAATATTGGATAGATTGTGTCGTTTGCCATCGTTTCATGATATCACGCAGCGGCAATATGGAGAATAAACTTGTAATATTATAAAGAAAAATTATGATGCAGGTAAAATTATTATATAAAAGGTAGGGTAGATGATAAAATAACATTATTTAATAATAATGAATGGTGAGATAGAGAGAAAAAGATAAGGTAACGATACGATCACACCAAATCGGTCGTTACATAAAGTGGCACATTTAATTGCTATGTAACAGCAGATTTAACGATATGATACAATAAAATTTAAGTAACAATTAAAACAAATATGATATTCAGAAAACGTCAAAGATAGCAGACCGATCTTGACTGCATTGTAGACCTACCCAACCCTTGAACTAAATGTCGAGAAGATGAAAACCCAATCAGATTTGGATAATCAGATTATTCAACTGTCAGTCCACATATTTTAAAATAATTAAAATATGCGCCTGTAAGTATCACAAAATTCCATCTGAACCCCCTTTTTGCACACACTGAAGACTCTCCCATGTTGTCGTTAGCATGCTTCGCTCCGCCTCGAAAAACAACCCACCCGTGTTCGTGTCCGTGTCGTCGTCTCTATTCTCGAAACCCTCTTTTTGTTTATTACTGATTGGATCCTAGTAATTTTGTTCTGTCCTTTTGTGTGTTTACGTTAGAATGTGACAAAATAAGACTACAAAGTAGAAGAACAATGGAAGAAGCATGAGTAGGACTGACATATTACCTGAATTTTTCAGTCTTCTAATTCCAAATGGCCCAATTCATATGGGTTATTCTCGTGCATTATTTTTCAGTTTAATAATTTTGGGCATCTTTTTGTTATCTCAACTTCTATTTTGTATGACTAATTACTCTAATGCAAGGAAGAAAATTACAAATTTATGCTTGTTTGTATTTTCTTTCTTTGCTGGCATATGGATTAGTATCGACATTATCGATGAGGTTTGGAATCTTTTGGATTAACACGTCTCAAAAAAGGAGATTAAAAGCATTAATAGAAAGTTAACTGTAGATAAGAGGAGAGTAAAAGAGTGGATTTTGATGCATTGAATGATTTATTTTCGGCAAAAACGAAGCTTAAATTGGGCGTTAAGAAGCAAATGGGGTTATTAGCTTCTGAAGACATAAACTTGAACAAGACAAGTTTGAGAATGGAGAAGAACGGAACAATGAAGAAAGCTAACAATGCTTCATTTGGGGGCTGTAGAATTTTGAAGTATCTGTGCATGTCACCAAAGTCTAAAGTTGATCATGGCTCTAGCAGAACTTCTGGTATAAATTCCTTTCAATGTTCCTTTTAGTTTTTCTTTTCTTTTAATCTTCTTGAAAATTACCAGCTTGTATGGCATTTCTTTTATAGCTGATTTGGTTTTCCTTGTCATGTTGATAACACCATTTTCTCTGGGCAGCTTAAGTTCTTTTGCTTCAAATAATAATGCTGTATCAAATGGGGTTTATTTTAGTCATATCATGATGGTAAAAGCAGTTCAGTTTTGCATTAAACCCATTCATTTTCAATGTGCTTCCATGAGATAAACTTGATTAGCATTGACATTGTCAATGGAGAATGATTATTCTTTGAACTAATTAACCTATCTGGTTACCGCCGCCCCCTCCTTCAGCGCGCACACACACACACCAAAAAGAAGGGAAAAAGCAGAAGAAGCTAAAAGATGCTGCTTTTTCCCTGCTTAGGAACTCTTTAAAGTTGTCGAACCCTAAAGCAAAGTAGGAGCATCATCATTGAGTGTCCAAATAAGGGGGAAAACACTTCAGTGGTTTTCTCGTTAGGGAAATTTTTACCTCATCTGAATGTGCCAACTGTCATTTACTATATGTCCATCTCGAAGACTCCAACACATGTCTTAGCATGTTGGTGGGAGATCTGTTTTGCAGTGAAATGCCTAAATCAGTTGTGTCTATTAACAGAGAGGGGATGTTTTATCTTATGACTTTTGACTTTTTTTATCTGTAGATATGCTAAAGAATATGATCATGTTTTACTCCTAATATTCCTGTGAGAATCCATTGCTCAAATTCAGTTTTCTTATCTGGTTAATAAGCAGCTTTATATGTGTGCATAAAGCTTTACTTAGGAATATGACACCATTGTTCATAGTTTCTAAATGTTCAAACTAAAATCTTCAGATGGGACCACCAGAGATCCGCCTGTTGCTCCAACTTTGTTTTCTTCAACAACCAGTGATGTCGAATCATCTACTCCAACCACTCCTAATAGAGGCTGGGAACTGGAAATCGCTTCCCAGCTTCGAAACTTTGCTTTCAGTGAGCTGAAGTTGGCAACAAGGAACTTCAAACCTGAAAGTCTTCTTGGAGTGGGCGGCTTTGGCCCTGTTTACAAAGGGTGGATCAATGAGAATGGAAGTTCACCAGTGAAACCAGGCACTGGACTTCCTGTTGCAGTAAAGACTCTCAATAAAAATGGACTTCAGGGTCATAAAGAGTGGCTCGTACGGAACTTTCTTGCTTTTGTCTTCATTTTCTGGACTTTGAAGGTCTAATGCTGTATTTTTATTTATTTATGTCCATTTACAAGTTATCCTCATTTGACAGGCTGAAGTAAACTTTCTTGGCAATCTCCACCATCAGAATTTGGTTAAATTAGTAGGTTATTGCATGGAAGACGATCAGAGGCTGCTCGTCTATGAGTTTATGGCTCGTGGAAGTTTGGAGAACCACTTATTCAGAAGTATGTTCCACGTTATACCTGTGCTTTTCTGTATGCTTTGCTTGACAATTAGCATTTTCCTCGTAAATCTCTTCCATAATAGAATATGTAGCATATAAGTTCTCCATTAGGCTGCATTCGTGGTAAAAATGTTTAAAGATTATGTTTTAGATTGTTCTATGTGATTACTACTCCTTACGGGCTTATGAATCATCTTCACCCGACTAGTATCTTTATTTTTTATACATTTGATATTAACCCTAACTTAGTTTCAGCATTAGCTTGCAATCATAAATTATTATGCTTTGATGGTTAGGAAATTTCTGCATGATGGCATCTTTCAAATTTCTATTTTGAGTTTTCTTTTAAATCTTTGGTGTTCTGTAGCAAAACTAGAGGAGATATGATAGATTTTGACTAGAAAAAGATTGTACCAACTAACATTCTGCTATCCATCTAAGATTGTTTTAACATATTACAAGCAGTTGGTACAAGAATTAATAACTCATCTGATTTGAAGTGAAATTGCATTTAGGTGTTTTCTTTAGGTGCATAAAATTGACTAAAGTGCATGTAGGAGGTCTTTTCTTTATTCAGCTAGTAAATTTTCTACTCGTTTACCAAAGACAGATTAGTGGATGAGATTAATAAACAGACAGAGCTGTTAAGTTGCATGTAGCTAGAACAACCAAGCTAAGCAAGATAATTAGTACAACTTTCAGATATAAAATTTGTACAAGATTACAAATTAGATGCATTCATTCCCTGCCATTTAATGAGATCCCAAAATGGTTAATCACTTCTGATAAAACGGTTACCCTCTTGAAATTGCAATTTATACCTTACCTACTCCGACATGAGGTCGTGCATTCTCTAAACCGTACGTATTTAATGAATTATAACCATTGTTCTAAAGGTATTTCTACTTATTAATGTAATGTGAGCATTGATAAGAGCATTAGGCTCAACTTGCTGCATGGAAACCATAACCTATATGTTTGGATATGAATTAAAGCTCAGTTGGACGTGAACTACTGCCAAGCATGTTACATTGGAAATAGAAATATCATTAGGACTCTACTTTAATGGTAGAAAACCAGCTGAGATAGATATGCCCTAAATAGCTCCTACTCAAAACTGTACATAGAGCTTCCTCCTTATATGACTCCGCTAGTGATGGAGGTTTGTGAATTGTGATAGTTAAGGATGAGGTAGAAACTAAATAGTTGTAATTGTAACGATTATCCCATAGTTGCGCCTTAAATAACTTGATCGAGAGGATGTACTTGACAATAGCTCATGCAGGAGCTTGGTAATAATGGTGTACGTTTGTACTCATCATAATATTAATTTAAGTACGACAACATTATTATCGTTCTTGTTATTGTTATTGGTATGTGCACACTTACACCATTTAGTAAGTACATCAAATTCAGGGTTATCAAAATAGGGTCAGCTTTTGGGATTGCCGGTTGTATGGGGGTAGTACGTTGAGGCTCATATTTCCAAACATCTATGCTAGAAGGAGATGACAGTACATAAGGTATGGAGGAGGCACGGAGGAGATGCTCTTTGAGACCTAAGATTTTGGAGGAACCTCATTGCAAAATTTCAAAACCTGGTTGAACAATTTTACAATATTAATACACCCAGGTTGTCAGTCAAGACCTGTCTAGATGGAGACTGGGAGCGACGGATCATTCCCATTTAGGTTATATTACCTTAAGCTCTTCGTCAAGGAAGAATTTCCCACACCTATCGATCTAGATACTGGCGGTGCCAAGAAAAATTTGCTTCTTTACATGGCTCGCAGTGAGGGGTGCAATCTTAAATCTTAATAGCGAAAAACTTGAGGAAGAAGAGGAACACGTACATCAATTGGTGTTTCACGTGTAAAATATCTGGATGTAAATAATCTCCTTTTGTATAGGTAGTGTCTCGGTTATGGTGGGAGTTATTCAGGTAGTTCAACTTACAATGGACGATGTCAGGCATAATGAAGGAAGCATTTTCCAAATAAAAAATAGAGAAGATGTAAGTCGTGGAAAATTGCTCCTCAAGCCCTCATGAGGTCCTTTGGAAAGAGAGAAGTATGAGTGCTTTTGAACTGATAGAGAGTGACTTTCAACATTTAAGGAATAGTTTCTTATCCCTAGGTTCATTTTAGAGCACCCGTGAGGTTCCTGTAGTATGGATGATTGGGTATCTTTGCTAGTGACTCATATTTTCTTATTATAGATTCTCTACCTTTTATACCGCTTATATACGGTAATATTTCCACCATTAATGAAATTACTTTTACCTTATCAAATAATAATAATAATAAAAATGATAATTATTATTATTATTATTATTATTATTATGTAACAATTTGTGTATGCATGCTAAATTTTGCATTTGGCTTCAAAGAGGCAGAGGTCATATTGGTGGCCTGTACAAGCTAGCAAGAGGTTGGCATGCAACATTAGTGGATGAGAAATGGAAGGTTGGGAAAAAATTTAGTATGGTAGGGTCTACATGAAAAATCTGCATTAAGTTGGTGGGGATGCTTGAGTAGAAGTACAATAATGGATAATTCAGAAGATTTAATATATTTGTCTATGAAAGATGTGAAATGGTACTTCTATTAGAGAGTTTAAATGATGAACATATCTAATTCAAAACTAGTGATGTCTAACTAGTACCAAGGTGATGAAGGCCTAGCTCAAGTGGCAAAGGGTGGTGGATTTGTGTCTTAGGTCACAGGTTCAAGCCCCACACCATGCAAAGCGAAGCCTGGTATTTAAGTGGAGAAGGGTAGAGGGGCGGGCCCATTATCCACCGAGTTTCGAAGGCTGCGGTTGGTCCAAAGGATCGGCCCCGGACGGATTTCTCGGTCATAAAAAAAAAAAAAAATCCGAAACAGGTGACATTAGCGTTGACTGGTGAGAAATTTAGGTTATGTACGTAATGCGCTAAATGAGTGAGACTATAGATGGATTTGGATTTTAGTTAACCGTTAATAGTCGTTTTTCCAACCCGACCTCAGCTTTAAAGGGCTCGTGCAAGATATTGATAATATTTCTTGGCATTATGCATTTGCCTTTTTGGGGTGTTGCTATAACTTTGAACAGTTTTGCATGAAACTAGAAACTAGAAGGAAAAGATGAGACTTCAGTTGTAGGGCTTATTGAGTGCTTCCTGGGACTAGGCCAATAAGTTATGCCTGTCATAGGGTTTCATCTGTAGAACTTGATTTTTCGTATTCAGATTGTTCTAAAGTTACTTGCGAACCTTGTAATTGTTTGTATTTTGTCTCTAATGTGCATAACTTTGTATAATGGATTGAATTCATGCTGTTTTTTCTGAAAATGAAAAAAGAATTTTAATCATCCTTGTACTGCGTGAAGATACAGCACTACCTTGCAAAATTTGCTTCCTTTGGTTGATTCAAAATGTTGTCCACATCCTTTGAATAGAAAATTTATTTCCTTTAAATCATTTATCTTTAGTTTCTTCTACTTTGAATATCAGGCTGCTAAACCTTACAAATTTCATATGACCTTAAAAGTCTACTCTGAGGTTCCCCTCCCTCCAAAGTATCATATTATCTGGAATCTTCTTATTATTTCCATACTTGGCCGTAATAGTATCTGCAGAATCGGGGCAGAGATGGTAGGTATATCATAATTATTGCTGTCATCCAGTTATATACGTAGTTTTCCGTTCTGTGACCATAAGAGGACTGCATTTACCTCTACATTACTTTGTTTTCTATACAGATGAACCACTTAGATATGATATATCAACTCATCAGCTTTTTGTAGTTATTGCATATTTTACGTTTATGTCAGTTCTTTCTACTCTCTATCTACTTACCATATTCTCTTTCTCCATTCTGCAGGGTCCATGCCTCTTCCTTGGTGCGTCAGGATGAAAATAGCATTAGGGGCAGCACAGGGCCTTGCCTATCTTCATGAAGAAGCTGAAAAACCAGTTATATATCGAGATTTTAAAGCATCGAACGTCCTATTAGATGCGGTAATTATTTTTAATTCTGGACTCACTATGAATCTTCTTTGCGTGTCCCCTTAATTACTACTTTGATATATTCAAATATATTTCTATTATTGTTACTGTCCTTCCAGAACTACAACACAAAGCTTTCAGACTTTGGGCTGGCCAGAGATGGCCCTGAGGGCGACAAGACACATGTTTCAACCCGTGTAATGGGCACATATGGCTATGCTGCTCCAGAGTATGTGATGACTGGTAAGTTGAAACTTATCTTCCTTTTTTTTTTGAGATGGTAACATATTGTATATTATAATAAAATCAGTACATAGGTTGTAGTGAAACCATATTTACAAGTGAGTAGCAAAAAGAAAAAACTTGGTCCTCAGGCCTAACAAGATTCTAGGACATCTAGGATTGAAACAGTATCTTCTGTGTGGATTTGTTTACACCAAAAGCAAAAAAGCAAAACACAATTGAGCTTGATCTTCTGCACAGAGTTTCTTCTATCCTTAAAACATTTGGAATTTCTTTCTTTCCGGATTGTCCACCAAATACATGCTGGGACCGTTCTCCATCTATCTTTGTCTCTTGCTCCAATTCCAGCTTCATCCCAACTAAAAAGAACTTCAGTAATCTTACTAGGCATTGTCCAAGCTATGCCCCTGAGGTTAATAAAAATCTTCCATAATTGGTCAGTTATCTTGCAATGTAAAAATAGATGGCTAACTTCTCAATATCTTCTCCACATAAGTGACATTTCGAGCACAATTGAATCCCTCTCTTTATAAGATTGCCCTGCGTCAGAACAACCTCCTTTGCTAGTAACCAAGAAAAACATGCTACCTTATAAAGAATCTTGATTTTCCATATATGCTTCCAAGGCCAGTTGTTAATCTGCAGGTTAGCTTGATTCAGGATCTTGTATGCTGCATTCACCTTATAAATTCCACTGTTATGTCCCTGCCACCTTATTGTGTACACCCCATTCTGTAAACCTATGAATCTTTCCAGATGTTTGTAGAAGTCAGTCATTCTAGCCACCTCCCAATCATTCAAGCTTCTTCTAAAAGCAAGTGCCCATCCTTGAGGGGACCACATTTCAGCTATTGTGTTCTGTTGATGTTGTGCCGGAACATACATATCAGAGAAGAGGCCCTTTAAACATCCATCTCCCAGCTAGTTATCTTTCCAGAAGGAGGTTTTATTGCCATCTTGCACTTTAATGGATGAGTGGTTCTTTAGAATAGCCAGAGTGACCTGATGGATCTCCATAAGCTAACTCCATATGCTGTATTTACTTCCTTTGTTTTCTATTTGTCTTCCTCACCATATTTGGCTTTGATCACATTACTCCATAAGGCTTGGGGTTCTTGAGAATACCTCCATAACCATTTCATCTTGAGAGCCTTGCTATGATCCTTCAAATTCCTGATGCCTAGTCCACCATGAGCTTTGCCAACTATAAGAGATTTCCACTTGACTAAGTGAAAAACCCTTTTCTCTCTGTTCCCTTGCCACGAAAAGGTCCTTCGTAGTTTGTCCAATCTCTGTATGACTCCTGCAGGAATAGGAAAGAGTGGCATCATATATGTTGGTAGTGCATCTAACACTGAGTTGATGAGGGTGAGTCTTCCTCCCATTGATAGGTACTGGGATTTCCATCTGGACAGCCTCTTCTCACACTTTTCAATAACATTGTTCCATATCTCTTTGGATTTAGATTTGGCACCCAAAGGCATGCCAAGATAGACGGTAGGTAGGGTTTCTACTTCACCTCCCAAGATTAGTGCCAACCGTTCCATGTCAGGTACTTCATTTATTGGGTAAAGATGGCTCTTTTTCCTGTTAACATGAAGTCGTGAGATCCCTTCAAACAGTACTAAAATAACTCTTAGAAACATCTACTCCTTTTCTGTGTCGCAGAAGATTAATATGTCATCAGCATATTGGAGGCGTGTGATCTCCAAACTATTATATCCAGTTCTTGCTACCTCAAAAACTTTGATCCACCCAGTGCTTTTTGCTGTTTTAACCATGTTATTCAGACCTTCCATGACTATTTTGAAGAGAGAGGGAGATAAAGGATCACCCTGCCTTAAACTCTATGGGCATGGAAAAAACCCTTTGGAGATCCATTTACGAGGATTGAAAATTTGACAGTGGAGATACAATATTTCACCCAGTTGATCCGTTTCACCTTAGCATATTCAGTAAGAAATTCCCATTTACATGATCATATGCTTTTTCGTTGTCTAGTTTACAAAGAATTCCTGTCTTCTTCTGTTTGGTTCTTGAATCCACAGCTTCGTTGGCAATCAGAATAGCATCCATTATTTGCCTTCCTTTGATGAAGGCCACCTATTGTGAATCCACCAATTTCTCCATCACTCCTTTAAGCCTCTCAGTCAAACTTTTGAAATTAGCTTATATACACTGCCTATCAAGCTTATAGCCCTGATATCTCTCAGTTCCTTTGCACCTACCTTCTTGGGGATCAGGGCTATATATGATGCATTAAAACTTTTTTCAAAGATTTCGTGGGAGTGAAAATTGTAAAAAACCTCCATAATGTCCCGCTGCAATACATCCTAAAACTTGATGAAAAAACCCATTGTGAAACCATCAGGTCCAGGAGCCTTTTCCACTGCACACATCTTCAAAACCCCCAACACCTCTTGTTCATCAAAGCTTCTTTGTAAGAACTCCTTTTCTTCTTCAGCTATTTCAGAACATATATCATAGTTGCACCCAGGTCTCCACTCTTCATTCTCTGTATATAACTCTTTGTAAAAGTCAATGATCTCAGTCTTGATTCTTTGTGGGTCTACAATTGTTTCTTCCTGGATCACTAGCTGATCAATGTTATTGCTTCTCTTGTGTGCATTAGCAGTTTTATGGAAGAAACTTGTATTCCTCCCCCCCCCCCCCTCCCTACTACAACGAAGA